TCGAAAGCGCGGTGGCCGGTGGACGGCGTGGACGGCGCGCTTGCCAGGCTATCCCCGCTCCCAGCAGCCCACACGCTATACGATTCGTGGGATGGGCGTACATATACGCTTAGCAGTAGTAGGCCGCGCGAACGCGTTTATATACATTGTAACCGTACTTTTAAGTGCCGGCACAACTTCGTCGCGTTTTCCAAAATAAGTCTAGTGATGCGAAAGCTCTTATTTAAGATGAACAATACCTACTGGAGCAATAGTGCGGTTCGTCAATAATTCTCGCGTGATTCGAGATTTTACAAAAGTTAACGAGTTATCTCGCTCAGCAAAGATCTTAGTCGCTATTAAAAATTCGTTGGGCGCTAGGCACGAGAGAGCGTGCCACTCTTCGCACAAATGGTTAGATAAATTGCTCGGACAAAAATGTAAAGATTACGCGGATTCTCGCGACGGACGGAATGACTAGCTCAGCCAACGGAATTGGCAGAGGGGAGTGGTTCGCGGTAAGCGGAAAAGATTATCGGAGAAAGACAGAGAGGCTGAAATAAATGCACCAAAATTAATGAGAACAATAAAGAGAAGTCAATATATTTGTTAGAGACTGTACAAAAGTGTTCGGAAGAAAGTACGTTACAACGTTGACCTTCCGCGCTCTGGTATGCGGCACAATAACAATGAACCGACTATTAAATGGCCGTCAACAATAGGAAGTAAATTCGGCAATACTTCGCCGAGAAGAAATGTGCGACAAAATCTAGATCTTATTACATTAACAAGAATTACTTCGTGAACAATTGAAATATCTGGAGACACGGTAGTGTCTCGGCGCTAAGCCAAGCGCGCGACACTGCCGTGCCTCCTTTACGCGAAACTGAGATTTTTCGGGGTCGAGATGATCAGATCTCAGTAACGGTTGAACCGATCAAGTTCTACATACGCTCAATCGACAGGAAATACTAAAATTGTGTGATAAAAGTGCTTTCATTTTTTTTCTACGTGCCCTACGAGCGGAGATATCGCGACGCAAAGTCCGGATTTGTAAATTTTCACGTTTCAATTTTTAAGATACGTCGTCGTCAACGTCGTCGACCAGAGAAAATGTCCATCTCGTTTTTTCAATAATAGAGGGCCTTTGACTTTATGTGTTATCTCACTCTATCTATCATCTCACTCTATCTATCTATATCTAACCAGTGTTGCATGGTCACATATGATGACGCGCGTGCGGTTTAAAATCTTATAATTAAAAATAAAATATTATTCAATATAATATAAAATATTTATTAATAAAATATTTATATATTGTTATTATAT